TACAATCCTTCAAAACAATGTTTTTTCAAAAAAGCAGAAACATGCAACATAATGATGACATCGGTAGTTATATGTTTTTGGCGGCATTCTATGTGGGCTGGACAAAGTGCATAAAACCCCACATATATTGAGTATTCTGAAATATGGAGTTCCGATTTTTGACATGCTGCGAGCTGGACTTTTGGGCCGGAGGCATTCTATGTGCGGCACTCATTTTCACATCACCTGTAAATTCTCATAGATTTTCCCTACGGACGGCTCATTACTAAAACTCCAGCGCACGTAGCAGCACATTGAAAATGGCATTTACCAGGGTTTTCTTTAAGATTTTGCTCCCGGGGCGGCATTCTTTAGGAGGGCGCGAGCTAGAGGCTACAGGCATTCTAAATTTCAGTCCGTCGCTATATATGTATATTATATATGTTGTTATATATTATGTTATGTATATTTATGTATCGTTTTCTTGCCGCCGGCAGTTTGAACAAGTCAGATCAGGAGACTGACATTGACGGGCCTGAACCATCATGGCAGCTAGCACAGCAGGGTCCATCGGTGCCTTCGAAGGAAAAGTCTGGGATCAGGGAAAAAAGGATCTGGGATGCTTTAGAAATCTTTAGAAGTTCATGGAAGTTCTATTGAGTCCATTACTGCTCCAACCGAAGTAGTCTCACTAGTTCTTGCTCCTTTGCCTGACTGGAGCCCCATGATGGCATGAAGCTGGACGAAGGAGGTCTTGAGGAACCTGGCTGATTTATCTGATTTGGAGTGAGTCAAGATTTTGACAAAGACCTTAGGCCTTGCTTTCCGCAGTCTTTCCGCTACGTAGAAATTCTTGGGCAGTATTGACACAGAAATATCCCATCTCCACTTGCAGCGCCATTCCTCTTCCTTTTCATGTTCGTGACTTGAATCCAACTGACAAAGCTCGACCCGCACAGAGCTTTGTTCATCCTTGTTCCAGGTGCATCCATGTGCAGCTGTCACGAAGTTGCACCTGATGATGCACTTGGTGCTGATGAGCTCAAAGCAGCTGCAGGTGTGTCGGGCCTTCAAGACTGGGTGGCCACGCTTTCACATCGTTGAGAATCTTTGCATTTGTCATCATTTGTCTTGTGTTTCATCCTGCTTTATCCACTCTTCACTCTCTTTCACGTCAGGTAAGTCAACAAAGGCAGCTTGCGGATGCTGGTGGTAGCGAGCTGTGATCCAAGACTATCGGCGTACCAAGCAAATCAGACTCAGGGACCTACGGGCTCAGCAGTTGATTCAAAGAGACTGGAGCCTTGCCTTAGCAAACTTTCAAAGATGTGACCCAAAGACAACACAGTGACAACACAATCAAATCATATCGAAACGTTCAATCAAATTGCATCTCTCATATCTCTCCACCTGCAGACTCTTTTGATACACAATACACACCTATAAACGCACAGAGCACTTGTGGCATTGGGATACGTGTTCATGAGAGCGGTATTCGTATCGTACAAGTCCCAACGTTGGAGCTTAACTGAGCTGAACTGCCTAGCTCCTGAGGGAAAAGGACTCAGAGTCAAGAAGCAAGGGTGCATTCAAAACTCAGTGTTCCTGGAAACCCTCATAGCACATGATGCACATGTACAAGTGCAGTGCATAAGAAGCAAAGGACAAAATGATGCAACGGGAAAGGTCTCTGGTAATTTGTAGGTTTCCTACTCGGGGTAGTCAAAAAGCATAGGTTTCAACAGTACAAAATGATGTCGCTTTGCATAGCTGTTGCACTTTTCATTCTCAGAACTTCTAAGGAAGTCATGAAAACCTTTTTCTTACAACATCAAAGCTTAGTGACTTAGTGACATTCCTTCCCCCAGGCTTCCCCGTGGCTTCCACGACCATCATGTCTGTGATGGCATGGGATGTAAGACTCTGGCGTTCAGCTTTTGGAACTGCAGTTTTTTCTTCTGGAAACATCTGGCAACAATGCATCAATGTAAGAAATCGAGTGCAAGTCAATGTCAGAGCCAATCAAAACAAAACATTTGGATGCCTTGTCCATGTTGTCAGAAGGCAGCCTGCAAATGGGCAAAGCGATCGCTTAAAGGGATGGCAAAGGGATTCCACATATGGATGTGTAAATTCGACATAATTTGACATCTTTCACTCAGATTCACTCCCTGTCCGACTCTTGGTGTGTGTCCACGAAGGACCGATGATTTCCCATGCCTGGATGAGATCAGTTCTCAGACTTCTCCAAGATTTGGTCACCTGAGAAACATGACACGAGTGCAAGGTTGGATATGTTTGATACATGTTTGATACGTACTTCAAAAGGTTTCCACTGCATCTTTAGTGTGACTTTAGTGTGACAAATCTTCCCATCTCCCTTTAGTCGTCACATCTCTTGACCCTGCCTGAGCAACGCCTCCAAGACCTGGCTGCCACGAAATCGAAACCCTGCACAATGGTGTTTTCATTGAACATATTACTGACTGATATGACTATCTTATTATAATGTATGAGTATAGCATATAATTACATATGTAACACGCATTGATGTATATGACATTGTATATGATACGTATGTAATAGTGCAATATATTGCAAAGGTTCCTCCATTGAAACGGCTCTGTCTCCCTAGCTCGTTGTCAAAGTCAATCAAAGTCATGCCTGACTCAGAACCCGCGTGTTTGTAGATGGTATCTTGGTAAAAGGCTTGATCCCTCAGTGATCAGGGACACTCCCAGTCTCATGATCTCGAACATAACCAATCAGTTTACATAAGTTTACTGGTAAATCTGGTAAGTTGCAGCGTGGATCAAAACCCAAAACTTGTGTGGAGCTATAGCTCCATATTGTCGGTGCTGACTCCCACCCCGTTTGCTTCCTGTCCAGGATCACGAATCCAGCCTCTCTGTGCAACTAATATTCAACATGGCCCAGCCATGGGTGACACAAGCACTGTCGCCAATCAAAGTTTGACTTGTCTAGTGTATATAGTTACAATATGTTACAATATTAATATGTTACAATGAGATGTCTTTGACATTATTTGATTCTATCACTGCAGCAGATCTCTACAGTGGACCAGCTGCACTATGCCATGAAGGTTGACAAAAGGCGAAGGTGCTAAACATTTGCCTGATGCCTTGCAGGTGGGAATTGAGATCGCTGTCAGTGGATGATACAGGCTTCTCCCAAGGTCAGACAAACTTGAGCAGAAACGCACACATGTCCCATAAATTCCCATTCAAATGGCTTTGTTGCGCTTGACTAAAGACCCAACACGATTTAATTTGTTTTGCATGAGAGAGAATGCAAGAGGTCTGGGAAAACAACACTGTGGCTATCTGTGTCATTTGAAGGTTTCAAGTTCCAAGCCTCAGCAAGTGCAAAGACATGGTGCAGTGACAGTTTTGCGCACGGTTTTAAGCAAAGGCCGCTGCATGCTGCTCTACAATCCGCGTCACACTGCTAGCAAAAGCCTGGTGGAAGACCGAGAGGATCTGAGAGCGGGGAAGCCTTCAAGATATCTCCCGGAATGGGGAAGAATGCTTAGTTCGATTGAGAAGCAAGTCAACCTGAGTAACAATCAGTCCCCAAAAGCATTGGTTTAAAATGGTTAAAACACGTTCAAATTCTATCAAAAAGCCTGTCAGGCTTGAGGTGCGGTGATGTCCTTCCGGAATCAATGGGAATCCGTGCTAATTAAAGTTGGTATAGAGAACTGATGCTAGGCTGCTAGACTCCACCTCCATTACAAATGTGAAAATCCTGTGCTATGAATTTGATTTGAATTGCGTTGACAAGTTCGTACATGTTCGTACTATACCTCCAGTCATGTATCACAAGTCCAGTGATGATAGGCGAATCGTGACAGCGGCTGACAGCAGCTCATTTTTACACTGCGAAGGTCGTCTACTCTGTGCGAATCCTTCCGCAGAATCTATATAAAGCTGTACACTGCAGGCGAGCGTCCACCGGAGTTTCCAAAATTGGTTGTAACGGCCATCCGATTTGAGGAACGCTTCCACAAACAAACAAGCATCAACAAGCAGAGCTCTCATCAGTTGACATCAGTTGACATCAGTTCATCGATCTCACATGATCTGACGGCAAGGATGGCCTCTATCACTGCTATCGACCCCAGTGCCAATTAAGTCCTTGACAATTTTTGACAAGGCAATAACTTCAACAGCTTGCAGCCCATACGGCTCCTTCCAAGGAGAGCGTGGATGTGCTACACCAGCGGGAAGCTAAGCCCTAAGCAGTCGGATTTCGAACAAAAAGCAAAGCCATGCAAAGCTATGCATGCTTCAAACCGCAACACCATCTGATAAGAATCACACTCGACTCAATTGGGAACAAATCACAAACAAAGGCTTAGGCATCTTATCTGCCCTGGAGCCTTTGCGCTGCGAAATCCAAATACTCGTGACAAACCTAGTTCTCTGACTCAGCTGTTCGCATATTCTTTTCAAAGCAAAGGCAAGGAGTCAAGGAACATAAATCTTGTACTGTAAATATCTGTAAATCTAGTAAATTGCTGTAATGGTAAGCTAATATCAATAATCACCCCGTATTAATCAACACCCACAGTCCAAAACATTGTTGGCAATACTACTTTGGGTTGGTTCTCCCTATTAATCAACATGTGTGGTCACCCTCTATTAAACAGCACCCTTGTGGAAAATCCTAATTCTTGGATTCGGAGGCTAATGGAACACCAATGGAATCCATTGGAAAACCAATGGAAACCACTGGTTTCAAAACATTTCACACGCTAAATCCCATGACTACCATTGAACACCAATGGATTCAAAGCATTTCTCATACTACATCTCATGGATCCCATTCCAAATCTCATGAATCCCATTTTTGGTTTTGCTGCCGATTATTTGGGGTGAATATCTGCTCATGGATCTAGAGGCTTATTAATGCGAACTTGGCATTAATTAATTCCTGTGGAACATACTTCACGGCAATTCAGCTGCACTTCCTTTCTTCTATCATCTATCCTATTTCAATGTTGCTTACGAACAGCGGGTCATACCTAGGTCATCACATGCAGCTTGGAAAATTAGCCGCCACTTTACGGGCCCAAGCATGCAAAAGACACGCCGACGCAAAAATCCTTGGCCAACTGCGTGAAGCAACAGGGAAGGGAAGAGATGGAAGAGGGGAAGCGAATTGATGGGATGTCAGTTTGAGGCTGAGGCTTTCAAGAGGACAGCTTGTCAAGAATGGCACGAGAAACACTTGAGAGAAAATGGTGGTGGAACAATGAGCACCTTCCCAACTATATAGAAGCGTGCCAATTCTACTGGTACTGGCAATTGCTTTGCGCGCTAAAACCGCCACAAAATCAGGGCCTAAGAATTTGAAGCAATGCATAACAATGCAAAATCAAAGTCAATCCCAGCAGCGCGTGTTGTGGGCATTAGCCCACAATGCTGCAGCTTCAAGTGTTCCTCAAATGATTTGCAGAGGCGTATTTCAAATATTTCTGCAAAATCCTGCCCATAATATTCTCAGCCCGTATAATCCGTATATTAGTATGTGCTGAACGAGCATTGCTTTGGGATTCCTGGCGTGTTGATGCGTGTTTCAGAGATTGTAGGTTGTACCAAGCTGTTGCAACTAAGTTGCTTTCGACTTGCAGAAGCCACTTATAGTGCAACACGGCTTTCAGTCAAACACCGGCAAACTGTATGATGTCCCGACCTCAGTTCGCTTTCCAACGTTCAGTCCATCTGCTCCCTGAAGCAAACCTGCGTGCGTATCTGTGCCTTCTGCTGCTGAAATCTGATCTGCCACACCCACAACTCCCTAGTAGTGCTCGGACCCCTTCCCACGCTAAAGAACCTGGCCCTAGGCATGACTCTGCAGACTTCGAAGGAAATGACCCCTTGAGCGTTTTCGTTCACGCATCTTTGTAGCAATTTTCTGTGGCAAACTCTCAGCCTTCTATCCCAAAGCTGGATGTCCACAGCCAAGCCGAAAGCTCACAATTGGCTGGATTTTTCGGTGAAAACAAAAAAAGGCCAGGAAACTGATTGCAGTGAATTCGGGTGAAGGCAAAACGAGACTTTCACCTCAGCACAGCTTGGTTCACCATGATCATGATGATGACGATGATGATGATGACGATGATGATGATGATGATGATGATGATGATGACGATGATGATGATGACGATGATGACATGATTATGATGATGACATGATGATGATGATGATGATGATGGTGATGATGGTGATGATGATGATGATGATGAGGATGGTGGTGATGATGGTGATGATGAACATGATGACGACGACGACGACGACGACGATGATGGTC